TTCGAAACTCGTTTTGGCGCCCCCTAAGGCGTGCGCCCGCATTTTTTGCATGCATTGCATGCAAGGCAGGACAGGCCCTGTATATATATATATATATATATATATACACATAATTAATTTAATGATAATTGTTGAATGCAAATATTATAGAGAGTGTTGATGCAATCAATGACACTCTGACGGTCATTGTGCGTTACATTCAAAATGGGCCAGTCTTTAACGACACATCAAAGACGAGCAATTGAGGTGCACAAGAAAAATCTCGTATTGCCATTGAAGACAATTGACGAGTTGAATTAATGAAGAATCTGAAGAATCTTGCCTGATATTTCTAAGAATTAGCTAGAATTCAAATTCAAATTCAAATTATTTTCAATGTACAAAAAAATTGTAAATTAATTTTTTTTTTGACATTTTGAAATAAAAAAAATCTGCTCTTTATAAAAATATTGGTTTCGTCAATACAAGCAAAAAGTTTTCTGAATAATTCAAATCGAATGCGTAGTTATCTCAAAATCTGCAATTTTTTGCACATTTAGTTCTATATCTCCGAAACGGCTGGACCTGCCTTTGCAAAAATCTAATTACCACTTCTCCCGACCATTACAAATCGAATGCTTTTCAGAACATTCAAATCGGTTGATCCGTTCTCTTAAAAACCGACATTTTTAGTACTTTTTGCGCCTTTTGATATCTCTGAAGCCGCTCGACCTGTCTACGTCAAAAACTAATCAGCACGTCTCCTTATTAATAAAAATCGAATTTTTTTGAACTATTTAAATCGGTTACTCCGTACACTCGGAATCGTCGACGAAAAATTGTCTCCACACATACAAACACGCACATCCATTTTTTCTGAGGTATGCCAATATGTTCAGAAACCTCTAAAACGTGAAGATATTTACTTACCCTATGGGAAGTTTAAAAGTGTGTCAACTGTAATCAGTTCTAGGAATAGATTTCGATTAAAACCGCTCCAGCTGCATCGCCCGCTAATCGTAGGCAATATTTAGTATATAGATAGGAAATCTATCGTCATACAAAGTTTCATCAAAATCGTTAAACTATTCAAAGTACCAAAAACTAATCAAAGCGATTCCCAACTAATATCTTTAAAATAGTTTTTGAATTTCTAGATTGTATCAACATTCTGGACAAGAATGAAAATGTTTACTTTTTTGCTAATAACAAGGAAACGGCTTGACCGACCGTCGCGCAAAAGTTATAAACGTTGGTCTTTATAGAGTTACATCGGATGGCTTTTAAATTTTTGACATCGGTCGCCAGTCACTTTTGATAAAATTAGCAAAACGGATTTTTTTTGCGCCTTCGGGAAAAGTTAATACACAGTTGAATATTTCATCTCAGCGCTTGAATCTTAATTTTTGCTAGTTAAGTCAATTATTTGCACGTATCGGAAGTTCATACAACTTGCCTTAAGGCCACTTGCAACTACAGTATTTCGAAAATTTCGATTTTTTTTTTTTTTAAACTGTGCCTTTATACCAAATAAGAACGCTCGAGATCTATTAGAACGTTTTCGCGGTGGTACGGATTCATTCGGAAGGACTCGCTAATTTTCGGTATCCCTTGTGTTAATGGTTGCCAAATTCTGTTGAGTCTATGGGTATGAACGAAGTATGGTCTACGAAATGCGTAGTCTTTACGTTTTATGAAGAATTCGGCGAATTCGGAAGTTGTTCTGCGGAATACGTATGTTTAATAGCAAGTGCGAAAATTACGAAATATTATTACGATATATTATTATTTGTTTCAAAAGAACATCGTGTAATTATTGTTTAATAATGAGTAGAAAAGTAGCGTTTTGTGTTGTTTTATTTCCCAATGATACAAGTGGCAATAAGAGTATCGATGTAGTGCCGGTAGATTGGTTAATATATAATGAAGAAGAAGATTCGATTGCCCATTTTTAAATAGTTTTGAGCTATTTACTTTAAATTTAGGAGAGAATTTACTTCTTCTTTAAGATTTAGTGAAACGTCGGGCACCAGCGCCAGATAATTGGATGTGGATGTACGAGGTTATGCGAGTAGGTATTATTGTTCAACTTTTGTTATACACATGTATATATATATATATATATATATATATATATGTGTGTAAATATGTATATATATATATATATATATATATATATATTTGATTTGTGTTGTAATTTCAGATACATATCAAAATGCTTTAGAAAAGCTTAAAATATTGAAGCATAAAGAATATGCGTTTTCAACTGACCATGAGGAAACAATAAACAAAAGGCAAGATGTTTAAAAAATACAATCCCGCTAAAAGGGCGTTTTGTAAATCAGAGTAACATCGATCAACAATTGTCGGAATGTAATATCAATTTGGGCAATAAGTCGCGCAATGCTTCAAGTAAGTGTATTCTTGCTAGCAATTCATCGTGTATTTTTCTTTTTATTATTATTCAATAATTTAATTTTAATTTTAATTTTTTATTTTTTTAGTGTTCTATTTTTAATTAAAAATAAACTATTTTAGAATAGGTAAATAGTGAAAACTTTTGTGTCATTGTTATTACTCTTTTTAAAGTATCTTTTTTCTGTGTGAATTTCTTTCATTTTTAATTGATACAATTCTCTAATAATAAAGTAATTATTAAAATATTCTTTATAATTATAAAAGTTTTTCCGAATATTTTAACAATTACTTATATTATATAATTTGCCTTATTATAACTACTGGTGTATAATCTTTTTTCCGACTATTAATTTCATTAAAAATTATATTTTTTGTTAATATATTTTTATACATCTTTCCACCATACAAAGCAGCATCTTTTTCAGCAAGCCGACCTGCTTCGAAGCAAATAATATCGATGACTCTAATTGTTCCCTACGTAATCAAGGAGCATATTGTAAGTACTATACGAAATTAAGTGTCTAGTATGTACATACAAAAATGTTCAGAATTGATGTGCTGTAATTTCAAGATGTATTACTTTCAATATATTTCAAATATGCAATATAACCAATAATTATATTTTCTCTAGAATTATTTTATTTTATTCACAGATGGAAACGAATTCAACTCTTTCAAATCTTTTGTAGGAGATTGTTATCATAAATTATCCCAGCAAATCGGAACAATGCAAGGGGAGTTATTAAAATTACAAGGATTAGTGGCTAATATGGGAACTAACCCCGTTGTCACATTTGATGAAGAACACAGTCTAGTTATACCATTCAAAAATTTGTAAGACTTTCAATCATTTAATGAAAATCTGAAAAAGAATGAGTTTTTAAGAAAATTCGTGAGTATTATTTATTTATTTATATAGAATCAGTTTTGTGTAGTAAATAGTAAAGAAAATGACATTATCTCACGGAAAACATTTTTTCAGATCCATAAAATTTTTAAAAAAAGATTTAAAAATTGTTAAAAAAGTGCAGAAAAGATTCACTAATAAAGAAGTTTTAAAACATTTCACAGCGCCTAAGCCTACATCAAATAAATTAATACTGAAAGACGCTGAACTTGTGAAGTGTTTATACGGTATGTATTATTCACACTGTACACTTCTACATGGATGATTTTCTTATTTATGGTTATACATTTTCTTACACGTATAATGACAGCAGAATCAATTAAAAATCCGCGGTTGAGCCCTATTAAAGAGCAAACATTTAATCAAGCCCTCGGGAAGGTTTTAAACTATTTAAGTCCAAGATGTCAATAAAAGTTAATAAAATATCACATAATTAACATTTGTTATTTATTATTGTTATATATTAAAATAATGTTATAATAACTCTAGCTCTTAATCAGAAACTAGAAACCATCAAACAGCTAAAAATAAAATTTTTGTTTCTTGTAGAAATGTTTTTTCTATATCATTTGTTGTTTTAAAGTAAAATTTTTAATGCATTAATGCTTTAACGTTCATCTGCCATACATGTACCGTATCATATATTATCTTAATTTCTGGCACCTCTCAGCTGCTTTTTGCCAATAATTCATGAATTTATTATACATGCTCTAATTGTTTCTAGGTTCATAAGTAAATTGAAATTTTTGTCAGATGACAGTTTTCATTCATTTGCTTAACAATGTCTCAAATATTTTCAATGGCAAACATGTCGTTTTATGCATTTTTTTCCATTTCTATAATATTACTATATTTTTATAATCACATACATCATAAACATTTTTTTTAGCAATCTTCAGAAAGATTTATCAAAATCCGAATAATGGTTTAGGAGGAGTATATTTACATACATCATTACAGAAGAATTTTATATATAAGATATAAAATAAAAACCTTATTTTTTCAATTTTTTTTTATTTAAAATAAACTGCAAAAATTGCTCTGCATATCGTACATTGGACAAACAAAACAAAAATTATGTGGTGCATGACATCATGACTAAAGGAAAAAATGAAATTTTTGGGAATTTTGTAATTTTGGATTTTTTTTAATATTATTGAAAATGATCACTAGACACATGCACGTCAAATTATCAGATATATTTAAGTATGAATTTCGTTTATATTTCTATGCGTTCCTTACATAGACTTTATATTACATGTAATATAAGGTCTATTGTTCCGTACCAATGTTTATCCATTATTCTCGCGGCGCTTACGCGCTTTGATATTTCTTCTCTAAAACAGCCACGCAGCACTATTGCCTTGAAAAAAAGTTCAAAATTTTCAAAAATTTTCGAATAAAATTTCTAATTTTTAAAAAATGTAATATTTTCCTAAAAATTTAAAACAGTCATTTTTTCGAAATTTTCAAAAAATTTTAAAGTTTTTTTTGAAAATTTGGAAGTTCCAGCAATTTGTTTTAGGACACGATGTCATGCACTACTAGTTAACTTAACGTTAATGATTAATAAATAAAGAAATAATGAAATTTTCTTATTCTTATGTTGGCAACAATGACATGATTGCGACGCCATTTCAGTTCGTTTAACGAAGTTCTTCTAACTGTCAAACAAATTGTTTAATGGACTGATCGAACATTTTTGTTTTCATTTATTTAATTATTGAACAGAGTTATTGATTAAATGTTGTAATAAATATATTACATAAACATAAATGCATAATTATTAGTGTGTATTAAAGTGCAGTGAATGTAAGATTGATTGATTAACATAAAGGTAGTGTAAAATACTTTAAGGTTATTTCACATGATTAACTTTTCTTATATTTATTTCATACAGACAGAATTGGAAATATTTAATTTTAAATAGAGGGCGCAAAGTATAATAAAAAAAGTCGATTTACCTTTTTATATTTTGGCTCTGCAATAAGCCAAAAGTTTGGAACAAATAGTTGACTCAAATTCACTGTTTGTCAAATATATTTTGAGGAATTATCTTGGCGGCATACATTGTTCAAAATTTATTGCTTACTGCTTATTGACTAATTAGCTACAGTTAATTTAATGTAAGAATGGATTAAATGATAAAACATGCTTAAGAAATATGTTATGTTTTTGTTCAGTTAGTTTTAAATTGTTTCATTCACTTTTACTGGAATTCGGTCTAGTTCGATTAGAACCAAACTTTGTTATAGCCCGAAAATGAAGGCACAAGATATATTAAAAAGGTGATTGATAAATAGAAACTTGTAATACATCGTGATGCTGCCGAACTCTATTAAGGGGTTAGGGGTACTCAGAGGCACGAAAAAATGAAAGTTTTCAGTAATTTTTTCTTCACATATATAAAAATATGCATTATTAAACAATGTTTTGACTTGCAGTAACAAAAATTAAAAAAAAAAAAACATATCCAAAGTTATAGTAGGTGTTTGTGTTGACCATGTTAAAAAACAAGATCCTTGCTGAGACAATTAAAAGTCCTTGGAGATTCGTCTAAAATCGGTCGAACAAAAAAAATAGTTTTAAAAATATAGAATCCTGGGTCTGATCGAAGCTTTCTGTTTTTTATTTTTAATCAACAAAATGTCGGCGCCGGGTCTTAATTGGTCTTAAAAATTCGAAATTTTTGAGAAACAGAAAATTCTTTGATCTGGCCTGAGTCTATTATGCATTCTAAAAGCTGTATAAATTTCACTAAAATCTACTGGTTACAGTTGTCACCAGTTCAACAAACATATGTAGTTTTGAGAAAAACTCATTTAAAGTTTCACATTAGATTTCCGTATAGAAATACGAATTATTATATTACTTACATCGAGTTGTCTATTCCTGGGCCATATAATAGTTCTTCAGTCATTGTGGAAGTTTCCAAAATATAATTTGCCTGATTATATTTATCAATCAATCAGGTGTTGACCGGTGATTGCATGGTGTGTGGAATTGCTGGAACCGGGTACAGGTCATCGGAGTTTCTTGGAAATAAAGATTAATTGTAGGATGATATATTTAGGGTCAGGAGTAAGGCGTTAGCAAAATAAATCTAACCATTTGTGTTGACAGAGGAATTCTAGAGAATGATTATGAATTTACATACACTCCTGTGAAATATTACAAGAAAGTAAATGCATTGACTTTCTGAATGCACTCCATGCTTTATCTGTCAACAACTAACATTTTCATTTGTATTTCTAGTTCAACAATAGCTAATGAAATACTAACCAACTATTTTTGTCAATACTTACAGAACATTCACTTGGCTCAAATATCTCAAAATGTCAGAAGCTGCTGATGATCAGATAATTAAAATTGAACCACAAGAATATCCAATCGAAGACATTAATTGAGGAAGACCCTGAATCATGTTCAGAGGATGACAAAACATGTTTCAAGAGGTTTATGAACTCCATAGTAAAGATAGAAGAGGAAGTCCAACAAGAATTAATTCAAACTCCCCCTTATAAATGTGACATGTGTAATAGATCATTTAAAAGGCTACACAATTTAAAACAGCATATGGTAGTTTATAAACGCCAGTGTACAAATTGTTCAAAGACTTTTTCAGAAGCAAGTGCATTAGAAATACACTTAAAATCTCATACAGCTGAAAAACATTCCAAATGTACAAAGTGCAATAAAGCAGTTAATAAATGTGATTTAGATCAACATATTTGTGCTCGTACCAAAGAACAAAATTTACACTTGAATGAATCTGGTGATCGAAAACAAAATATTTATGCTGATACTGCAAAGAGACCTTATAAATGTCAATTATGTTGTAAAGCATTCAAAAGATCGAACCATTTGGATCAACATATGTTCATTCATACTGGGGAACGTCCTGAAAAGTGTAAAATATGTAATAAGGCATTTGCACATACAAGAGTCTTGAAACGACATATGCTCATTCATACTGGAGAACGTCCTAATGAATGTAAAATATGTGGAAAGACATTCACCCAATCTACAAACTTGAAGAGACATATGCTCATTCATACTGGAGAACGTCCTAATAAATGTACAGTATGTGATAAGACATTCACACAATTGAGTAACTTGAATCGACACATGCTGTCTCACACTGGGGAATGCAGCAATAATTGTAAAATATGTGAGAAGGCATTCACAGATTCAAGTACCTTGAATGAACATATGAAGATTCACATTGTAGATCGTCCACACGAATGTAAAATATGCAAGAAGGCATTCATATATTCCTATCGCTTGAATAGAAATATTTTGATTCACAGTGGGGAACGGCCCCACCAATGTAAAATATGCAATAAAACATTTATACAATCGAGTCATTTAAATAAACATATTCTCATTCACATTGAGGATCGTTTCCATGAATGCAAAATATGCAACCTTGCATTCAGACTATCAAGTCATTTGAAAAAGCACATGCTTGTTCACACCAATGAGTAATTATAAATCATCAATAATGGATTTACATACTCCTGAACTGATACATGACCGCTGATAGAAATAATAATAATAATTTTATATTATTGTAATTTTTTGTATCAACAACAAGTTTTATATTTATTTTGCAAAGCAAAAGATTAAATTGATTAAACGTATTTATTATATAAAAGATTTATGTGATTCTTTCTTTTTTTTAATTTATTTATTTAATTAATATCAATATAAGCAAAGAATAAAGCTCCATAAATGTCCATAAAGAATCATTATGGACATTTTCAGTTTCTAACATTTTTTTTGTATCTTTTATAATTGTCTGTAAAATTGTATTTTTGTGAAAATGTGAATTTACTATAGGCATCAAAATCTAAATTGAATTGTTCTTAAAACCGTTCTCATAAAAAATTGTAAACGTTATTATACTATTGAATGCTCTATAGCCTATATATAGTTCTTTAGAAAAACTATTTTTTAACGTCCCGTAGGGTAAGTTATAGTAATGGGTCGTAAATCGAAATTGAAAATGTTTGCATATCTTTACGTTTGAGAGGTTTCCGAACATTTTCGCATACCTCAGAAAAAATGGATGTGTGTGTGTGTGTGTTTTGTATGTCCGCATTTTTTGGCCACGTTTTCGGGCGGACGGATCAACCAATTTGAATGAGATATGCTGATTAGTTTTTGGCAAAGGCAGATCCAGCCATTACAGAGATACGAAACAAATAGTGCAGGAAATACAAATCGAGTTTTTGAGAGAACGAAGCATTTGAATGATTTAGAAAACATTCAATTTGTAATGATGAGGAGAAGTGGTGAATAGTTTTTCATAAAGGCAGGTCCAGTCGATTCGGATATACCGATCAAAATGTGCAAAATATGGCAGTTTTTGAGAGAACTAAACATCCGATTCGAATGATTCAAAAACCTTTTTGCATTTGTTGATGAAACGATTGCTTTTGGAAAAAAATCATTTCTTTATTTTATTTTTCAAAAAAAATAATTTTCTGACTATCGAGAATAATTCGGATTTTAATTTGAATTCTGGCTAAAGTTCTAAAGCTCACTTTATATACTTGAAATAAATAATTTTAACATTGTAATTCAGTTAATATAATTCTTATAAATATTAGACTATGTCCTTCATATTAAATTTGATTGAGTGTTGTTCATTTACTTTTCTGTAAATATATATGAATTACAATATTTATAATAATCTATTTGAAAACATTTAATTTTTCTTGAAAATTTCATTACGGTACGGAAAGTTCCAGCTATTTGCCTTATGCATGATGCTATACACCACTAGTTATATTTTATATTTTTAGAACCGGAAACAAAACAGTTACAATATCATATTTATATATTCAATTAAACTTTTATAATTACATTAATAAACAATTACACATTATACTCTGTAACAAAATATTATAAATTACAGAATTAATATCCTGACAATACATGAAAAGAATTATCACAGTTGATATCACAGTTAATTAAAATTTATGTCGTCTGTTGTACATTCAAAACAATTTTATTTCTTTTAATTGTTTTTTCAAAATGCACTTGTACATTCAAATTAGATTTTTTTTTCTTATATGAATCAGAAAATGCTTTTAAAGGACTTTATAGCTTGACCAAATACCAATTCTGTTGCTCGGCATCATTGCTTGCTTTAATGGTGTTTTTGTTTTGTATGCTTTATCACATGTTTTACATATATATTGTTGTTCTCCGGAGTGCACTAAAAAGTGTTGTCTTAAATATTTTGATCGTCTACAGTCACTATTGTATATCTATTCGTAAACATGATCTTTTTGTTTACTAATAGGTGTTTCACATTCGAGGGTGATTCATAGTGAAAGTGTTTTTCAATCATTGTTTGTAAAATCATTGCTTCTTTTGTTCTGAATGTTTTATTGCTTATTTTATATTTATAGAAATGAATCATTTTATTCTGGTTTAATTTACATTTAGTTGTAAATATTCTACTGCATGCTTCATTTTTATGAAAACTTTCTCCATACTAATGAATGTCTTTTAAAACTACTTGAAGGCTTTCCCAACATGGATTATTTCATATTGTTTTAATCAGTCTCTTCTACTGATTGTTTTATTTTTTAGTTGCAAGGAAGTATTCCAGAATGGATCATTTCATGATGATTTAATTTATATTTTATTGTGGACTTTCTACTACGAGCCACATTTTTATGAAGACTTTTTCCATAGTGCACTAATAAATGTCTTTTTAAAACTCTTGAAGGCTTGATGGATCATTCATGTTGTTTTGATGAGTCTCTTCTAATGAATGTTTTATTTTTTAGTTTTAAGGAAGTATTTCAGAGTGGATCATTTCATGACGGTTTAATTTATCTTTTGTTGTGCACTTTCTACTATGAGACACACTTTTTTTGAAGACATTCTCCATAGTGCACTAATAAATGTCTTTTTAAAACTCTTGAAGGCATGATGGATCATTTCATGTTGTTTTGATGAGTCTCTTCTAATGAATGTTTTATTTTTTAGTTTTAAGGAAGTATTTCAGAGTGGATCATTTCATGATGGTTTAATTTATCTTTTGTTGTGCACTTTCTATTATGAGACACACTTTTTTTGAAGACTTTCTCCATTGTGCAGTGATAAATATCTTTTTAAAACTCTTGAAGACTTGATGGATCATTTCATGAGTCTCTTCTACTGAATGTTTTATTTTTTACTTATAGGGAAGTATTCCAGAATGGATAATTTCAAGCTGGTTTAATTTATATTTTGTTGTAAACTTTCTACTACGAGACACACTTTTATGAAGGCTTTCTACATAGTGCAGTAATAAATGTCTTTTTAAAACTCTTGAAACTGTTCCCGGGTATGGATCATTTCATGTTGCTTTAATGAGTCTCTTCTTATAAATGTTTTATTACATAATATACACTTATGTTAGTGTTCTCCAATGTGCACCTTTAAGTGTTTCTTCAAGTAGTCTGATTGGGTACTTTTATGTACATCTGATTGGGTATTTTTATGGAACATTCTACAGATAGTACCAGTCCATGTCGATTTAATGAGTTTTTTCCTTAAAATGTTTTATTTCATATTTGACATCCATCAGGACCTTTACCAGTATGAATAATTTGATGATCCTTTAATCTTTGTTTTGTTTTAAAGGATTTATTGCATATAGCACATTTAAGAAGACATTGTTTAGTGTGGACCTTTTTATGTCGAGTTAATTTAGGTTTTGTTGTGAATGTTTTATTGCATATTTCACATGTATGCGGGCGTATTCCAGTATGGTCCATTTCATGCACTTTTAATGCTCGTTCAGTTCCAAATGTTTTATTGCATATTTGACAACTGTAAAGACGTACCCCAGTATGAATAATTTGATGATGCTTTAGGCTCTGTTTTGTTGTCAAAGATTTATTGCATATTGTACATTCATAAAGACATTTTCTAGTGTGAATGTTTCCATGTCGTTTTAACAGACGTTTTAAAGTGAATGTTTTGTTGCAGATTTCACATTTATATGGGCGCTCTCCAGTATGGTTTACTTCATGCATTTTTAATCCTTCTTTTCGTGCAAATGTTTTATTGCATATTTCACAACTGTAAGGAAGTTCTTCAGCATGAATAATTTCATGTTGGTCTAATGCTCGTTTTGTTGTGAATAATTTATTGCATATAGCGCATTTATGAAGATCTTCTCCAGTATGGATCCTGTTATGTATGAGTAATGATCGTCTTCTTTTGAATGTTTTATTACATATTTTACAAGTTGTGTATTTCAAGTAACGGGTTGTATCACGTTTTCCTGGAACTCTTTCAGATGATTTACTCGCATTATCCTCTAAATTACCTGACTTACTGATTTCTTCATTATGTATGTAAGATTCTTTATCTAATATTGTTTCGTTTACTTTAGTACCAGTTTTTTGCTTTATATCTTCCTCGACTCTCATCTCAGATTCTTTATCTATTTCGTCCTTTTTCGGTAAAATATTAACATGATTCAATTCTTGATTCACTTGATAATAATCAATCAGTTCAATTTCAATTGTTTCATTTGAGTCTAGACAATATAATAATTTGAGAGTATTTGAGTTTGCTTCTTCAGACATTTTTAGATGTTCGTTGATACTCGTAAACAAACTGGCAATGACGGATAAAATGTTGTCGATGTTTATAACCTATGTATATCTTTTGAATAAATAACAAATATGTTTCAAGATTTAATAAAATACAATATAATTCCATGAAACACTTTGATATTCTTACCTCGAATCTGGATGAAACCATATGCATAATATTATATCGTCCAGGAATGAAACTGCGCTTAACCTACGAGTTTATGAGTTTAACCAACCGCCTCAAAGTATTTCATAGACTATATAGTTTCACATGGATATATTATAATCTCATATTGCCTTGTAGAGAAATATTTCGATTGTTTAATTTCTGGCAAGTATTTATACATAGATAAAAGAAGAGCATGTATATGTATTTATATTTAGGTAGGTGATAGAGACTGTCAGTTATATGGTTGTATACAGGTTTTATTTCTAGTCTTGAAAATGGCTAATTCCAGATTGCCTTACGACTCATGGACCAATATACTCTTCTTTTATCTATGTCATGGACCTAGAGTCCAGGACATATCAGACTCTTTTCTTATCTATGGTCTAGGGCAGAGGGAACCTTTTTGCCATTAGAGGCCACACTTAAATTAGGCAGCAATAAGCTGATTGACCTAAAAAAGTGACTTTTGTGAAATTATTATAGTTTTTTTTTTATAGTTTTAACAATTTATTGCGTTATATAGAAAAAAGTAAATAAAATACTTCAAAATTTTAAATATAATATATAATAATAATATAAAATAATATAACAATATTACAAAAAACACAATAACTAGTGAGCGTATGGCATCGTGCCTTAAGGCAAGTTGCTGGAACTTCCCGTACCAATTTTTTTTTTTTAAAAAACGATTAAATTTTTGAAAAAAAATTATTTCGAGAAAATTAGATTTTTGAGAAACTATAAATTTGACTATTTTTGAAAATGAAAAAAATGTTTTCTTTATTTTGACATATTTTGGAAATTCTGAACATTTTTTCAAAGCAATCGTACTGCTTTAACTGCATAGAGACAAAATGTCAAAGCGCGTAAGCGCCGCGTCTCCGTCTAACGGATAAAGATTGGTACGGAACCCATAGGAATGTAAACAAAATTTATACTTATAGTTAAAATCTTTATAAAATATCTGATAATTCTTTTAAAACTGAGTTACCTTTTTTGGCACTTTTTGCTCCGTATCTTCGGAACGGCTAGACCTGCCTTCGCCAAAAACTAATCAGCACGTCTACTTATCAGTACGAATCGAATGTTTTTTGAATTATTTAAATCGGTTGATCGGTGTTCCCGAAATCGTCGACGAAAATTTGTATCCGCACACACACACACACGCACACACATACATCCATTATTTCAAAATATTCAGAAACCTTTGAAACGTAAAGATATATAAAAAATTTATATTTTCGATTTTTTTGCGATTATTTTAACTTGCCCTACGGGAAGTTAAAAAAATATTTTTTTTTAAACACTAAGTTAGTGACTTATAAACTTCCCGAAGGATTTTATGTTTTCATCAAAAATTCCGATACGCTAATTTTATGTTTTCTCGACGTTTCAAACCATTCTGATTCGAATGAGACCAAATTTGGAAAAAGTATGTGCGTGTGTGTGTGTGTGAACAGACTTCTGCCGTAGATCGACGTTTTCTCAAAAACGGCTGGACCGATTTAAAAATTGAAAAGCCATTCGATGTATCTCGATGAGGACTATTGTTTTGTGCGACGATCGGCCAAGCCGTTTCTTTATAATTCGCAGAAAAGTGAAAACTTTTTCGTCTACGTTTTAGCCCGCAATTCTGAATCGATTTTGAAAATTCAAAAACCGTTCGAAGGATATTGGTTGGGAATCGTGCTGATTAGTTTTTGGTAGACATCGGCCGGGTCGTTTTCTTGTAATAAGGTGTTAAAAAATTTTTTTTGTCGATTTTTATTATTATTTTTTGACGATAGATACCATAGCTTCTAGATCATACTAAAATATTACGGCCCTACGACAACTCGTTTAGCTTTGAAAATTCGGCAAAGTTTGGTTGCTCCCATCTCTGCCAAAGCTGCGGATTTGCTTTTGGTTGCGTGAAGTGAGATCTCTGCTAAAATTTTTATCATTTTACTACGGATACGCATAAAAATCTTGAACCCGGGTGCTAACGATTCTTTTGCACTGTTAATTTTTTATAATACTTTTTGAATCATATAATAGACGATGTCTTGCGAAATCGAAAATATTGCTTATATTAAATAATATTAATATAATATATTGCATCTCTATTTTGTATCTGCCTAAGAGTCTGTGTTTAAGGCTAGTAATCTGATGTCATGTTACAATATGACTGTTTTTGGTAGGATTTTTCGCGGAACTTTCATGACGTTTATGTACAATAGTTGTTTGAAAGTAACTCTGCTATTTTGTACTAGGCGGCAAGGGGCCGCACAAGAACCTCCCGGGGGCCGCAGGTTCCCCACCTATGGTCTAGGGCTAGGCTCTAGGGTTTCAAAAATGAACTAGTTGTGTATAGCATCGTGCCTTAAGGCAAATTGCTTGAACTTCTCGTATCGTAACGAAATGTTCGAGGAATATTAAATGTTTTCAAATGAATTAGATTAATTCACTTTGCACTGAATCGCAAAGTTAAAACTAGTGGGGTGTATGGCATCGTGCCTTAAGGCAAATTGCTGGTACTTCCCGTACCGTAACGAAATGTTCGAGGAATACTGTATATTTTCAAATAGATTATTATTAATATTGTAACATTGTCTAATATTTATAAGAATTATATAAACTGAATTGCAAAGTTGAAATTATTTGTTTAAAGTATATTAGAACTATATTCAGAATTAAAAGTAAAATCTGAATTATTTTTGATATACAAAACAATTTTTTTTTCCAAAATCAATTATTTTGTTAAGACAAGCAGAAAGTTCTTTGAATCATTTAAATCGGACGCTTAGTTCTCTCAAAAACTGCCATTTTTTACACATTTAGCTCTGTATCTCCAATTTTATTGGTTCAAAAAACATTTGGTTCCCATTAATAGGGAGATGTACTGATTTGTTTTTGGCTGGTCCAACCGTTTCGGAGGTGCGGAGCGAAGAGTGCAGAAAATATAAATCGAGTTTTTGAGAGAACGAAGCACCCGATTTGAATGATCTAAAAATATTCAATTCGTAATGATCGGGAGAAGTGGTGGTTAGTTTCAAGTCCAACCGTTCCGGAGATACCGGAATATGCAAAAAATGACAGTTTTTGCGGGAATTAAATAAACTTTCTGCTTTGTGTTGACGAAACGATTGCTTTTGGAGAAAAAGATTTTTGATTTTTTTTTTATTTAAAAAAAAAAATTATATCGAAATTGATTCGTATATTAATCTTAACTCTAGCTAAAGTTCTAATAAAGCTCACTAATATCAATTTCAAATGAATAATTTAAACTTTGCAATTCAGTTTACATAATTCTTATAAATATTAAACAATGTCCTTTATTTTAAATCCGATTGATTAAGTTTTGTTTATTCACTTTTAAGTAATTACATATATAGTTACAGTATTTATATTAATTTATTTGAAAACATTTATTATTCCTCAAATATTTTATTACAATACGGGAAGTACCAGCAATTTGCCTAAGTTTCTGCTCTTACTTCATTGAAAAATACCTCTTACACCTAATTTACATTGTTTTTTATCACAAGTCATTCGAAATTCATACGGGAAATATCACTTTCATTTAATTTACATTATTTATCATCACAAATTATTCGATTTTTTTTTAAAAAAGTGCAATCTAGAAGATTTTTGATAAATTGCATTTTGTAAAAATTCAAACAATCAAAAGTTTAGCAAATTCGAAAATTAAATCATGTAAGAATAAACAAACTTTAACTTAGAGTGTTTTACAATACTATTAAACAACTAGTTGGTATTGGTATTTTGCCTTGAGGCAAGTTACATGAACTTCCCGGTATGTGTAAATAATCGACTTAATCAATAAAAAATAAATTAATTTATGAATGATTAAAAGTATTTCGAGTTGATTCATTACACATAATTGGAAACGAACGACTTCTTTATCTCGGAGTATTTTCAAAAAGGAAATGTTCACAAATCAATGATTTTTATAATTGAACTAGTTCCCGTAGTACTTTAATGGTTTAGTATGTTCATTAAGACTAAGTACTCTATTGTTATGACCAATTATTACGTTATTTATTTATTTATTTATTTATTTAAATATATAGCCCACAGATTACTCCAAGGGGACTCAAAAATACAGTTATTTTACATAATGAATAATAATTAAAATATATACAAAATTACACGGTTATACGTATACATTAAGACCAAGTAAATCGTCTAATTTTAATTTTAGCAAACGTCTAAAAAAACTCATTTTCTCAAACTATGACGCATTTTTAAAATTAAACTACTTGTCGTAAGTCCATAATATTTTAATAAGCTCTATAAGACCATAATATATATCGCCAAAAAAGTTCCATAAAAATCGGCTTAAATTTGTTTTTTCAACAGTTAATTACGGTAGATTTTCACCTAAAACTAATCAGTATCATTCGTCACTAACATGATTCGAACAGTTTTTGATTTTAGAATTACAAAAAAACGGCTCGGCAGATCGCACAAAACTGACAAACGATAATCCTCATAGATACATCAAATCGCTTTTAAATTTCTGAAATCGGTTCAGGGGTTTTTGAGCAAACGTCGATTAAAGTTCTACTTTTGACAAACGCCAAAAAACGACACTAATTTTGCCAACTTTGACGAATTTTTAAAAGTAAACGACTTGTCGTAGGGCTGTAATCCTAGACAATATTAATTTAGAATACCCCGTGTGCATATGGTGTCTATTATCAAAAAAAAAATCATGAACATCATCGAAAAAATTTTTTTAACACTTTATTACAAGAAAACGGCCCGGCCGATCTTTACCAAAAACTAATCAGCACGATTCCCAACCAATATCTATCGA